AAGAGAAGAAGAGTATACTGCAAACTCCAGTCTGATACAAAATTCACAATTCATAGAAATTTACAATCCACTACCACAGTGCCAAGGTTCATCCAATGACCAAACATCGGATCTATGTCTTATTTAATCACCATCTACATAAAGCACGAACTAATTGTTAGGCGTTGGATGGTTGTAGCTCAAGTGAATTCATGAATTTCTTCGTTCTGCATGACAGCCTCCACTCAGAAGCTATCTACTTTTTGCAAGCAGAACCTATGGATTTAAAATTTGTTTTACTATTTTGTTTTTATCATTAAAATTGACAAAGCACTATGAATTGTTTAAATCTGACTTATTATTATACCCTTGGCTCCCGAGTGGAACATAGGGCTTCAACAGCACATCTCCACTTTGTTTCGTTTGGTGCTGTTCTCTCCATCTGGGTCCATGATTACCCATAATCTCTCAAATCTTCCTTCCCAACATACGATTTCCCCCATGTTACCCTGCCACTGATGACCCATTCGTAGCTTCCCATGTAGATTCCACTGGAATGCCTGGTGCGTGATATCACTCGACAGTTTCCTGAATGTATGCCCGATCCATCCACAGTTTCTGCTACATATTTGTTAAACAATCAGCTTCTGGTTTGTTTGTTCCTAGAGGTTTCGGCTGCCATCTGATCTTGAATATAGACCAGGTGCAGTTGTCGATTAAAAGCCTATAATCTGTTAAAAATCCTTTTGTGATATGCTGGCCAGGTGTTTGATCCGTATAGAAGAGCTGACTGACTTCATTTTTGCGTTGAACAGAATCCGAATCTTGTTCTTTATGTTGGCTGAGCGCAAAGCTGGAGATTTCCAAACTGGTTTCATGTTGATGAAGGCATATATTGTCTTTCCGATTCTGGCTGGCTTGTGTTGACATCTTCACCTGTTCCGCCTGTAGTTGAAACGATGCTTCTTAGGTAAGTGGAGTTAAGCTTTGTCAAATCTTTCCTGTTGATGGTTATTGGTGCTGTTTGCTGTTGTTACCGGTTGGTTATCTTCATCACCTCCGTCTTCTCTATGCTCACCTGGAGTCCTGTCTTCACTGCTTCTTCTGTCAACTTGTTGGTTTTCGCCCGTAAGCCTTCTAGTTTGTGTGACATTAGACATATATCATCAGCGAAATCTGGATCTTCTAGAGTCTTCTCATTAGTGATCCGGCGTGCTCTTCTCTCCTAGCTCCCCACAGTCTGGTGCGTAATCCAGTCCACCTCAATTAGAAATATCATCGGCGATAATATACTGCCCTGTTAAATCCTGTATGCACTTCGAACGCTGTGGATCATCTGACACACGCCACTGTCATATAGCCAGATGTTGAATGAGATTGATAAGGACTTGGCCACTGCACGCCGAAGTGCTGATGTAGTTTCCAAATTACTTCTCGGTCTGCGCTGTCGAAAGTCGTGTCGAAGTCAATGAAGATGAGGTAGAATTCCACAAGCCGTTCTACGCTTTGTTCGATGACCATGAATAAAGTTGCAATTTGATCAGCACATGATTTGCATATCCCGAATCCAGCTTGTACTGTTGGGGCTAGCAGAGTTCTGCATCCAGAGCATCCTTATTCTCTCCAGAATGATGTGACATGGTATTTTACTCGGCATGGATAAGAGCATGATTCCACTTTTGCACTGGCCTGAGTCGTCCTTCTCTGGTAGCTCGGCGAAATAGCCTCCCTTCCAATTGGTAGGTACCTTTCCTTCCTTTCAAACCATTTCCACCAATAGCATGAGCACATCTGCGGCAGCCTCTGGGACTGTTTTCGGTGGATCGGGGGAATTCCAGATTGTCCTGCGGCCTTCCCGGGCTTCACTAGCTTGATACCATTAAGTATTTCAGGTTTCGTTGAAGAAGTCATGCCCACTGGCAGGCAGTTCCGTGCGTGCTGATAGTGTTGGTGGTATTCCGGTCCAGGTTAAAAGTGATAGTCGATTCAAAGGTCCCCTAAAGTGATCAGCCAATTGTTTCATTTGTTCCCCTCCTTCGTAATCAGGTTGCCTTGAGTGTCTTTTATTTGTTTCATCATCTGGGTGGATCTCTTCCCGCATAGCGATAGATCTGGTTATTTTTTTATTTTTTTTGATTACAGCTTGATTCCACACCGTATTTTTGGGACAAGTGTGGAATTTTCAGCGTGGATATCTGTAGCCCGAAATTCGCAGGCCGACCATAGATATCAGGTATACGTCGGCGTGGGCTCGAACCCCGGACCATGTGCATAGTCGGCGAGAGTCCTAACCACTGTGCCACCGACACAGGTTTGTTTTACCCGCGGCCTGCCTGTCCCACTTCATTTGCCAACAGCCAGTGTGTCGTAGAATTGTCTTTTGTCTTTCCTAGAACTCTTCATTTCCCTCTCTTATCCAGTGCAGTGTACACTGAACTCAGCTTTTTCTTCTGTTGTCCATCCTTATATTGAGCCATTCTCTCTTTCACCATCATCCGCTACTCGATTAGCTTCCAGGTATTCGTTAACAGCCATTCCTTGTCTTGTCTCCCCTTTCTTCCTAGAACAGTTGTGCATGTTTCCTTGAACATCAGATTCACAGAATTATAATGTTCTTCCACGAAGTTTTCCTCGGTGATGCCACGTAATGTCTCTGACTGTGCTCTGATCTGATCTGTAGTGAGGGCATCCCTTGTAGTTTTGTCCTTCAGTCCAGTTTCTGGATGTTTGACTTCAGTTGTGGTCTGTCTCCAGTTGTTCTCAGGGATTTCAGCTTCATCTTGATGGTTCCTTAAACTAAATGATAGTCTGAACCCACATCTGCCCGTCTTGTCGACTTTGTATCTGGCAGGCTGCGTCTCCACTTCCTTGAGGAACACTGAGGTCAAATCTCTCTGGTTTGTTGTGTGTCCATCAAGTAGAATCCATGTTGCTTTGTGTGTGACTTTGCGTCTGTACACGCTGCTTCCAATCACCAAATCACTGAAAGAGCGGAAGTCGGCTAATAATTTTCTGTTCTCATTCATTCCTCCATGGGCCTCTCGACCCATGATGAGTTCTCTTATCTAGCAGTTAGACTGGCATTCACACGGCCCATAAGAATTTTAATGTCACTATTTCGGATGTTATCCAATACTATTTGAAGTTGTTTATAGAAATCATCCTTTTTCTCTTATTTCGCGTTGTTTGTAGCACTGTGCGCAGCATTCGATAATTGTGACCTTCCTTCCTTCCAGTTGAGTTGAGTTTTGCTGCCATTATCCTGGATGAAATTAATTCCCACTGCACAAAGTCTCTGGCTGTTACTGGTGGCATCACGAAAGCCAGTGTGCTCATGGTTGCAGTCTGGGCGACCAGACAGGAGTAGATTACTGACTTTCCACTTGACAATTTGGATAGTCCGCATCCGTTCCATCTGCTTTCAAAGATACCCAGCCTTTCTATGCCATATCTTCGCATTTCCTTGGACACCTGGGTAGCCTTCCCAGTCTCCTACATTGTACGGGTATTCCACGTTCCCATTCTTATTCTTGCTTTCATCAAGAGAAGACACATTGGGTGGCTGACTGGCCTCACGAAGACTGACGTTCACCAGCCCTCTTTATCACCTCAACTCTCCGATTCGAGCGAAAAATAATATTGTTGTTATTTCAAGTTTTTGTATTTTAACCATATTTTGTGTGCGTTGAAGTTACTGTAGCGGTTTGATAGGTTCAGTGGTGTAGGGTTGCTGGCCCCAAGCCTAACCTTCCCTCTTCACCCGGGCTTGGGACAGGCTGGAAAACCAGAGGGCTAGTTAACCAGACGAGGTTTAAATTTGATTTACACACATAGCATATTATTTGAAATTTTAATCGCCTGCAATAGCCATTCACTTTGTTACTTTATGCTAATTTATTTTTCGATCTCTTGGAATAAGTGTTTTACAGAAAGGAGTAGTGAAAACATCATACGACGTATGGCTTGCTTAGTTTAAGCAATTTAACTGGCCAACACAAAGGACATAGTAACATCCGAAAACGACAACTGATTTCAAGATCAGGAAGGGCGAAAATCGCTGACAATGAGAGTCTAAGTTCTCGCTAATGTAAGTTGTTCGTATTTGCAGAACTCAGAATTCACTGTGAAGATTCAAGTTTTGAGCATTGCAAAATTTGTAATAAGTTTAAAACTTGGGCACTGTGGTAGAATATAACTCCATTAAGGATAAGACTTTATTTTGATAAATCACAGTATAATAAATTAATACTAACTGATGACGTTTCGAGCATAAACTATTGCTCATAATCACATCTTCCTGATTGTCTCAGAACCGTTGCTTCGTTAGCAATTAGTATTCAGAAGCCTGACTCATGGGCTTAATGCTTCCAATGCAGCTTCCTAGTTTTTAGGTATTTAATTCGCCTTCCTTATGCTTTAACTAGCTGATCTTCATCTCGTTCAATGGTCCACCTGGTGGTATCGTAGTTACTAAACATAGAAGTTTTTGTAACTCGATTGGATTGCACACTTCCCTGCAAACAAACTAACGTTTTTTACCAAAACATTTATGATGCCATTCTTCCCTCTACCACACAGATAGACTGGTCAACTAAATAATTAACTTCGTTTAAGGGTATGACAGTCTTAATATAGACCACAAGCTGTCCTTCGAATTCACCGAAAGTTTCTCATCTATTGTAGCAAAAGAGATCTGCGACGGGCAGATGGTTAACTGACTACTCAGAAATCCACGGAAGATGGGGAATTACTCTGGTACCACAAAGATTTCATCTTGGTTCATGCCGGCTCATCGACATGATAGTGCAAATTGAAGAAGTCACTCCAGCTAAGTAGGTATGCTTACTCTTTAACAGTCTATAAAACATTCGGATCTATTTGATAATCTTACCAAGAGAGCAACAAGAAATCAGTTACACATCATCATAAACCATTGATCACTCGTTCAGAGGCCTTCGCGGTTGCTTTGAAATGGGTTGCTTCACCCGTCTTTTGTATTTTCTTATGTGGTCAAATGACCACTGAAGTCATTCTTTTAACCCTGTAACTGCATGCTCTTTTGCTTTATTTATCTGTTACATTTTTGCGTCTCCTACACGTAAGGGACCGTAGTTCGAGTGTGGAGAGTCATAAAATCACGGAACTTTTATGGATATTTTTGTATTTTAATGTGACGAATTCCACCCGAGGAAAAGGTTGTTCATTATCAAAGGGTGAATACATTTAAAATAATCGCTTCGATACCTGGTAAATGCTTTAGTAGCCACGGAATTGTTAGCATCCATGCTTAGATATATTATCATTTGTGTCGTTAAACCGTTTGCGTCTAACACACGTTGTCAGCATTTAACGTAATTTGCTGATTGTTGTAGAAGTCTCAATATTTCTGTTTAGCTTGTGACTCGCAACGATTAAGTTGTCTGCTCGTGGTGCTAAAACTTACTAGTCTCATGGAGTCTTTTATGAGGTAAATATATGTGTAAAACTTGGGCACTGTGGTAGTAATTCCATATCAGTTTGTTCACTAGATATATCACACTGTTTCACTGTGTAATATGACCAATAAACAAACTAATATGGAATTTTTTATGAGGTTGTTGACTAAATTACCTTACATTGTCGATGAGTTTCATGTTACATATAAAGTTAACTCATCTTCTTTCTATCGTAAGGCATTTCAGATAGGACAGTTATCTGTCACAACTGCATTGTACCTTGAATAAGGACTTATTGATTTCCAGTTAGTCCATAACTTCGTGATTGTTCTCTGGTTGACCATTTGAGATATTGGTAAGACTAATAACCGGATAGTTTGAAGGGTAGTGTGTGGGACCTCTTTTATGGATAGTGTGACTTTGGGGACCTTGTACTCTGGCGACATTCCTTATAGTGCGAGGAATTGTATAAGCGTAACAACCAAAGATAGGAGTCGTTAGACCATGAGGGGTGACAGGAATCCGCAGTCTTGCTGTTTGTCAGAGCTCTGTAGAAAGGTAAAATCCCCCTTGTGAGTTTTTAGGTTTAGTTAGCTTAATTAAAGCGAATCTCTATGAAAACATATCTGATAAAGGTAGTTCAGGTTTCTCGTCAACTGATAATATCTTCCGAAATAAGCTATCAGGGTTGAATCCCAATAGGAATACAATAGGCTTTTGTAAGTCACTGCATAGACATATACTCCAAGTGTCATAAGAGTAAAATATTATGGTTTGTAATGCTTTTATTTGGCTTGTTTAACACTTTATTAGTGTGTGTATCTAGCATGCCATGATTGTCATTTAATTAAAAAACGTAACTGACATTCTTCTGTAACTATAGTCACGTAAATTATTTCTACAAGTTGTCACTGTTATTCTAACTTTTTGATTCATCCAATACTGGTATAATTTTGGAAAAAGTAAATCGTCAACTATTTTTTTGTTTGCAGGTTTTGTGATTTTAATGGATTATGAATTATTGTTGGGGTTTATTTGGTGTTGCATTACACATATCCTCATTGTACAGGGCACCTGGGCGACTACATAGAAGCTTTCGAACTATTGGCACACTATCATGTAGGAAATTTCTACCGATTTATTCAACTAACTTATTAAAGCATACTGGACGAGGACGTCGTCATTTCGACGATAAAGATGAAGATGATGATTCAGATGAAGAATTTTCTGATGAGTTTGATACCAATAGCGAATCAAATGATCCATATTATTCAGAAGATGTTGAATTCAATCCAAATTTTAAACAGATATCAACATGCGTTAAATCATTACGTTTTGATAAAATTATTCGTGTAGGCTTAGGTATGACACAGAGTACATGTGATAATGCCTTCTTTTCTAGTCGATTTCGACTAAATGGTGCAAAACTTCTTAAATTGGGTACTAAAGTTTATGCAGGTGATAAATTAGATGTGATCATTGACAATGGAGAAGAACCTGTAGGTAAACGTGTACGAGTTGTAGACTTTATGCAATCAAAATCAGGTAGTTACAAAGTCTGCTTACGTTGTTGGCGAAGTCATGTTAAACTTTAAACATTATTTTTCTTTGCATTTTATCGTGTACACACTTTATCTATATATGATTAAAATAAATATAACAATCACTGTGAAATCTGCTTTTTGTTTACTGTTTTGGCTGTTTTTTAAAATATTGCATGATATTAGGATTATTCATAGGATGGGTAGAACTTGGAAAGGGTGTGCAGTTATAGGATTGGCAAACAAATCGAATAAAACAAAAACGTTACGTAACATCGTGTGAAGTTTAATAGCATAGAATTTAGCGTTGCAAAACAGAATTGATTTAGGATGACAAGTGGAACAAGTGAAATAATACCGGGGACAGTTCAAAGTGCGAATAGTAATAGTAACAACTGATGTAATAAAGGAAGAGTATACAAATTGAATAGACAAAGTGAAAAAATGGCTTTTCTGTTTTTATGGCCATAGTTCCAGCAGTACATATGATTCTAATACGTAGTGATTTGGTTAAATCGCTTTTTGCCTTGTAGATGACTTTAAAGGCAGAGGCTTTAAAGGTAGGGTGATCAGTGTCGACCGGGTGTTCAATGGTAGCGCTTCTTTTTGCTCCACTTCCACCTCTTCGCAACCATGCAGGATAGTGTCTTTGCACTGTTTGTGACAAAACTCGAGTCGAGCGACCGATATACCTGGCTCCACACGAGCAAGTGAATTGTATATTCTTCCTTTATTACGTCAATTGTTACTATTACTATTCTCACTTTGAACTGTCCCCGGTATTATTTCACGTGTTCCATTTGTCATTCTAAATCCTGTTATCAAATTTCACACAATATTACGTAACGTTTTTTGTTTTATTCGATTTGCCCATTAATCCTATAATTGCACATCCTTTCCAAGTTCTTTCCATTTTATGAATTATTCTATATATGACATTGATTGTTTTGCCACTTGATATTAGAATTGTCTTCATTTATTTTCCTGCTTATAGTTTTATCATGTCAAGGCATTCCTGGTTAGTCGACCACCTTTGGCAGTTTTCTCATTGGTTCTACTTTTATGCGCTATTGGTTTAATCGGTATAGACATAGAAGTCAATCAATCGCCGCCACCCAATGATCCTGATGTTGAAAAGCATTGGAACAAGTTGTTGTTAGAGTTATCAGGATTAGAGTTTTGCTTTTTAAATTCATCGAGTAGTCGACTTGTAGCAGAGTCGTATGAAGGTGCACATGTTCTACGTGGACTGGACAATGATCAACGGAATACAACTATCATCTCGCATGCAGTTTACTTACCTTTAGTAATATATCCTAATGCAGAATTTATTTATCATGTACCGTATTTACTGACAGCTCAAATGCGTGGTCGCCATATCGGTATTCAAGGTAATATATACATATAGCTATGTACAAATGATCATTTCACACTAAGTATATGCCTAGTGAAGTGTTTAATTTACAGTGTTTAGCTGTTTTATTGACTGTATGTTTCAACTGGGATATCGCGATTCTAAGGTAATATCATCCTGATTCAAGAAAGTTTTATTTCTTGTATCCACTTATTGATATCACACCAGTCAAGCAGTACTAATAGCAATAGTAATCCTCGTAAAAATCAGTGATTTCACGAACTGCACACGTGCGTGTCGCGATGATCCGACAAGCTGCACTGGCTGGAACCAATGTTTCTGCAGGTCCTACCATACCAGGAAGGTTGTTAGGATAGTCAAATTAGACTAAAAGCAGTTACGGGCATTGTTTAAGAATCTTTCTTACAGTATGCTGGGGTTTTGAGGGCGAAGTCGTACTGCTGGGGAACAGAGGTGTAACAGCAGTGAGGTGTCCCCTCAGATGACCAGCATGCCAGCTATGCTGTCTACACTCTGGAGAGAGGGGGTTAGAAAAGGTCAACGCCAAAAATTGTACATCCCGACTTACCCTACGGTGGTCGGTAACCGGCGGTAAGTTTACTAATACGGAACCAATCCCAGATACCAGTTCATACAGGCCGTGTGTGACCCTGTCGGCCTCAAGCAGTTGTCCCCTGGGCTCTGCGGTCACGCAACACTCTGTTTCAGGTACCCAAAGAATCAATCAACTTCCACGATGTGGGCAGCCGGGAAGTAACAACCGCCTACACACTTCGAAAAGCACACGTATATACGGTTGGTTTAGAGTTTGTATAATTTTCATTGGAGTTTTGCAAATGGTACCACTGTGTTGTAGGGGAACAGTTCTCTTTCTATGCATGTTTTTGTGCTTTTGTTAATTATTCTTTTTCCCGGAGTGTGTGTGTGCGTGGTATTATCAGGAGGTATGCGGAGTGGATTATAAATGTTGACCACAACGACTGAAGTCCCAGTGCTTAAAATCCTAGATTGGTTCTTGAAGTTTTTTGTTTTGTTTATTCCTTCACGTTCCCAGTGGAATATAGGGGTTCAAGCTAGTGATTTGAAGTTTCTGTAGCAATGGTGTGTTTATTTTTACGGGATGGGGTTGCTGTTGGCCTCATGCCCCCAACGTTCCCTCTTTTCCAGTCTTACTAGTGGCTTGGCGAGGTAGAGGAGTGCATCGGTGGCTGGGGATCGAACCCCGGACCACATGAAGCGTGGTCGGCGAGCATTCTACCGCTGTACCACCGACGCACACGGTTCTCTAAGTGATATTTTGTAAATAGGAAATATGCAGAACGATAAAATTACTCAAGTATTCGACTTGTTTAAATATGTTGTGGTTTTATTCCATTTTACCTGTTATCTGCACAGTGTTTATACCGATGTGCATCATAACTTTAATGAACTTTTCTCTCAATATATAGTGTTATTGAATTTAATGCTTAGATCAACTAACTTCGCTTATGACTACCAGCTAAGGTGCTACAATAACTGTAATGCGTGTTCTTTCGCTTAATCGGTTTCTTCAGGTCATTATATGTGTGAGTTAGGCACTTAAGGAAGAGCACTTTTAACTCTGATAATATGCTGAATACAACTCAGTGAACTTGATTTTCAAAATGTCTTTAGGTATATTCAACTTATTAGTGGATTAAATAGGTGTATGTGCTTTTTGTTACCCAGTTTTAGTTGTCTGCCAAGGAATAAACTGGTTCTATCATATTGTGTTGTATACGTCGTTGACGCAACAACACATGTGATCTGGGTTCGATTCCCAACTGACGCGTTCCTAAACCTCGCCTAACTGGTAGTAAGCACAGCACAGGGCTCAAACTCAAAGCCCTGTATTCGATTTGGAATGCAAAATTTATTTTTATTATTTATTTTTGATTACAGTTTGATTCCACACCGTATTTTTGGGACAAGTGTGGAATTTTCAGCGTGGATATCTGTAGCCCAAAATTCGCAGGCCGACCATAGATATCAGGTGTACGTCGGCGTGGGCTCGAACCCCGGACCATGTGCATAGTCGGCGAGAGTCCTAACCACTGTGCCACCGATGCACAAAGTCTATTTGTAGTTTTGTGTGTGTGTGTGTGTCGGTGTAAATCTTAGACACCGAAATATTACCCGTTCGTATTTAGTTTCGAACATTAGTACAGTAAATTGGGATTAATAGTTAAATAGTATCATTCTGTTTAATGTAAAGCGTGTTATCTGTAAAAGCATAAATTAGTTTCATTATGAATCAGAAAATGAACAAGGGGAATTAAGCTATGGTGTTAGATTGTAAAATAAAACGAGCAGAATAATGTAAACTGCACATTTGCATTTATAAGAAGCCAACGCATTCTGCTAATAAATATTTAGACACGAATTCATCTCATCCGTTACGAATCTAAAGGCAGGCTTACTTAAGTGTCTAGCAAACCGAGCAGTGGTACTGAGTAGTACTAGAAAAGACCTAAATGATGAAATAAAACAGATGGAAGAATGTCTGGTTGGTTGTCAAATAACTAACTATCCGATAAAATTCATTAGGAAGATCAGAAAAGGTCAACAACAAAATGAAAATAGTTGTGAAACTAATAATAATAACATAAATAAGAAAGAATTTAAGGTATCTACAGTAGTTTTACCATATAACGAGGGGACATCAGAGAGCCTCCCTACGAAGGTTTCTCAATAAAGCGGGAATTAGAGTGGCATTCGAACCTACAAACTCACTCGAATAGGATAAGCTCTGTAGGCTAAAGGACCTTGTCGGTTGACCCAATTAAACAAAATTATATAATTTACAAAATACCTTGCAATGACTGTGATTGGGGTCAACTACATAGGTCAGACTAGTAGATCGGGAGTAGTGAGATTATCAGAAGATAAGAATTTAGCTGAGTTTAGAATGATTGATCCTACGAAGATAAGTACTTTAGAAAAAAAACTCAGCAAATGCACTGCACGCATGAAAATCCTAAAACTTGATATAGGTAGGTGGAGAGAGAGAGAGAGAGAGACAGATTGATTACTGAACCCTTGCTCATCGAGTCTACACCCAACACATGCGATAGAAGTGACTCATCATCGCTAGTACCAGAGATATGGAAGATACTATTACCAGTCAAATCACAGGAAGATAATAAATAATGTTAAAATGTATTTAATTCTCCTTATAACATCCTAACAAGTTACTTATTTATTTTGGCTGTAAAAACACTCGTCTTATTTCCCATCTGATTGTGTTTGATTGATAACACTCATATTATTATTTTTGAATGTACATTATCCTATATTGATTTTTATTTAGATGTCTAATCATCAATTCCACTCATGTATATAAATGAAGCTAGAAAGTCGTGTGATGAGTAGTAGTGCCTTGATGTGATTATGAGCAGTAATGATAAATTGTGCTCGAAATGTGGTCATCAGTGAATATTACTGTATAATAACACTGTGTGACTTAATCGAAGTATAATTTTATCCATAATAGAATTATACTCTAACACAGTGCCTAAGTTTTATCCCCATATCAATGATATATTAATTTGTACGTTACTGATTTGCATTAATTTCGTGTATTAGTGTGAATAAGAAAGTAGATGTGGAAAAAGGCTAGTTTCCCTTGTTAAATGGTAAAATTATAGTGAGTAGCACTCAGGTTAAGTGTAAATTGTCAAGTGAGGAGTAAAAGACAATTGATGAGGTTGTTCACTCGCATGAATTTCATATGCTTAGCATACTTGTTACACATGCCAGACCCCATGGTCTTTCTCGTGAAGCAATGTTAGCTGAAACTAAAAGGGGGTATTTATTATACTTTATTATTATTTCATTTAATTCCTAGAGGAACATAGGGTTTCAGCTGCACGTCTCCATTGCGTTTGGTTCTCTGTCGACGTTTTCACCTGGCTCCACGTCTGCCCACATGCCAAGTTCTATGTTGAATCCAGACAGACAGTGTTTTGGAATAAAGCAAATTATTATTACTATTATATACCCAACCTAATTTTAAAAAAAGAAATGTTTATTTAGCTTCTTACATATATTATATGTATTACTGTCTTTTCCTATACTCACAAGGTCAATTGGCTTTACAAAGATTAAATATCTCCTTCACAATACCTTCAGTTCAGATTGGAAGAGATTATAAAATTGCTGGATCAAATTTTGTACCAATCCATTTGAAAGCTTGTGTAACATTTACTGCAACACAGGATATATTCCCTCAAACATTGTAAGTTTAACAAAAGTAAAAAAAATGTTAAAAGTTCCACACTGGATGGTGTATAGTCATTCAGATTTATAGTAAGTATATGCTGACTACTACATGTAAAGATTTAGTGACGTAGAAGGATAATTTAATTTTGCTCAATAGATTAGCCAGTATTTTTATTTTTTTTCAAGTTAATTTACATTTTTATGAGTTGATCACGGATTGATATCAGTTAGAGAGAACCATTGAAAACCAGCCGCAGGGAGTACTGGACAACTGTTTCGTCAGCCTAGTTTTGGATTTATCGACAATACACACCCACCACAGGCGGTTCGAACCCAGGACCTTCCGGTTACAAGGCGAGCTAGCTGGTATATACCATTCAGCCACTTGGACCCACCCGACCCAATGACCAACCCATCCTTTTATTATTATTTCCTTTAATTCCTAGAGGAGCGTAGGGCTTCAGCCGCGCGTCTCCACTGCGTTCGGTTCTCTGTCAACGTTTTCACCTGGCTTCAAGTCTGCCCACATGCTTTCATCTCCTCTTCACATGACCTGCTCCATGTCACCATTACACAGACGACAAACCCGCCGCTTCCCGTTCGTGTTCCACTCGAGCAATGGCCTCTCTTGTGATGTCACTTGATGGTTTTCTAAGAGTTTGGCCAATCCAACTACCTCCATTTCTCTCTGCATATTTGCTGCACAATCGGTTCCTGGTTGATTCGCTCCCAGAGATTCCAGATCTTTTCTGACAGGTCATCTGATCTTGAGTATTGAGCGAAGACAGCCGTTTATGAAGGTCTGTAGTTTGTTTGAGGTGCTCTCCATGACGCGCCAAGTCTTATTCGTACAGTAAGTAGCACTGACTTCACATTAGAGTTGAAAATCTGGATCTTATTTTTCGTTGTGAGTAGTGCTATTGACCTCCACACAGACTTGAGAGTAATGAAAGCTTGTCTTGACTTTCCGATCCTCGTTTCGATGATATCCTCATCAGTTCCGTCCACTTGTAGGTAGGCAGGTAAAGGAGGTTCCTTCTCTCAAAATCCTCCATTTGTGCTGATTGTTGTCTGTTGTTGCTGTTGGTGTTGGCCAGGAATCTTCATCACCTCTGTTTTCTATATGTTCACCTGAAGTCCCATCTTCTCTGGATGCTTCTTCTGCCAACTTGTTGCTCTTCACTTGCATATCTTCCAGTTTGTGGGAAGTCAGACATATATCATCAGCGAAGTCCAGATCCTTAAGTTTTTTTGTGTGGGCCCATTTCATGCCTGTTTCCTCATTGCGCGCTGTCTGTCCAGTCTATTGAAATCAGGAAAATCATTGGTGGTAGTAGGCAGCCAGCCTGTCTTACTCCCGTCTTCACTTCGAAGGATTCCGTAAGTTTCCCGTTGAATTCCGTAATTTTCCCATGAATTCTAACTTCTACCAATTCGTGATTTTTAGGGTGACCACCAACCCATGTCATCGGTGGGACATCCATACTCACACTTGACTGGATAGTGCTCACTGGTCACAACTTCTCACCAGAACTCCAAGAAACTCTGTCCTGTAGCAAGTCATCAGCGGGCGTCAGATTAATTTTTCTATAGTTTGGTTTGTAAGGATTAGTTTTGTTTTTTACAAGTTGATCATTGATGACACGGGTTGGTGGTCGTGCTAAATCGCGAATGGGTGGAAGTTAGAATTCATGGGCTGGCCATTGGATCGGTTACCAGTGACTGACTGGTATACCAGCTAGCTGGTCTTGTAACCGGAAGGTCCTGGATTCGAACCCCCCCTGTGGTGTGTGTGTAGTGCTGGTGAATCCCAAACTAGGCTGACGAAACAGCTGTCCAGTACTCCCTGTGGCTGGTTTTCAATGGTCCCTTAACTGATATCAATCCATGATCAACTCGTCAAATAACAGAGGTTTATATATGCAAAAGGAAATCCTCTCACTACAGAATCACTGATTTGATATTAGTGTTGAAAATTAAGATCTTGTTCCCTGATTATTGAATGCAGTAGATTTTCGTACTGATTTCAGATTAGTGAAAGGATATCCTGCCCTTTCCCTGACGTCTTTATCCATGTCTGTCTGTCTGTCTGTTTTCGACATAGAACTTTGCACAAATGTGCGGAAGTTCAAGTCGCCACGCTCCGTGTAGCACGCGAAGCAAGAGAAGAAAGTAGAAGAAATGCATAATAGAAACAGTGAGCAGAGGTGTGAGACAAAGGAGTAATAAAGAAAAACAAAACAGTTTCATTGGAGATCATAAGTCACAAGGAGTGCATGCATCTGCGCCATTGAGAACGATTTTGAGCCATGTCACCAATTGTTTCCAAACATAGATTTTTACCGTCTCGAGGACCCCAGTCTGGAAGTCTACACCTTCCTACGTGGCTTAGACCAACTGTTGTGGATTTCATTGACTGGTGCCAAGTTTTTGTTTGACCGCCGCTAGCTCTTTTCCAGCCTGACCCTATATCCGCTAACATTGCTCGTCGAGGGAGGCGATGGCTTGACATACGTAACACATGTCCTAATGTGGCGACTTGAACTTCCGCACATTTGTGCAAAGTTCTATGTCGAAAATAGACAGACAGACAGACAGACACATGTCCTAACCACCTCAGTCTTTGTAGCTTCACGACTTCGTCGATTGATTTCCCCTGTTTACCTAGAACTCTACGCCTAACCTCAATGTTGCTCACCTTATTATGCCACTTTACACAGGAAATAGAGCGCAGGGACCTATGATCAAAGACAGCTAGTCTTTTCATGTCTTCCACTCTGAGTGGCCAGGTCTCACAACGATAAAGGAGGACGGAGCGGACTGATGAGCAGTACACCCGCCCTTTGGTCGATAGTCGAACATCTCGTCTACGCCAGAGTCGGCGTAAACTAACAAATGCGAAACGAGCCCCCTGTATTCGTGCTGAGATTTCGTCAGAGATCAACCCGTTGGCACTGGCTGATGGTACTTCCCAAATAAGTGAAGCGGTCAAGGTGCTCTACCACTTCACTTCCTATTTTTAAACTAGGCGTCGATCTAGTCCAGTCCTTTATCCATGTGCCGCCTTTAGGGTGAAATGATACTGCCTAGATAACTGAGGGAAGTGACTTCCTTGAAATTTCTACTGTTGACGGTTGAATAGTGCTTGTTCTTTTGCGTATATTCATCGTCTCTGCCTTCTGTCTATGCACACTTCATCAAATCGTGTTTTCTTTGCTTCTTCTGTTAACTTTTTAATTTTTGCTTGTAAATCTTATTATCGCATAATTTGTCGAGACCACGTTTCTGGTCGGCAGTAGTAGATCAGTTTTTTCTCAGTGTTAAACAGGTAGACAATTGACACAAAAGCAGCCATTACTATTAATTTATTATTTAGAAGTGGATTTCTTCTCGTTAATTAACAGTTGAATTGAACTGGATTGTTACTTCTCGATTGTGTCATACTTACTATTTACTGTGATCATCCACCTGCTTCAATAAGGAAATCTCCGTTGAAACGTAGATAGTACACCTTGTTAACTTTGATTGGACACTAGTCAGTAGCTAGTGTGACGTGTCTGGCTAGTCGTTTCTTTGGTGGAAACTGAATTCTATCAGTCAGTCAGTCAGTCAGGTTTGCAATGTGGCCATCATGCCAGTAAGTAGCTCACCATCACGTTGCACTTTGAATTGTTGATGTTGGATGGCTGGAGGCAATCGGCAGAGGGCCTTCGACATAGGTTTCGTGCTAGTTGGCACTCATTAGTCCGCAAGTGAGTGATGACCTGATGAGTTGTCATAATCAAAATATCCAACACACAGACCCATGGGAGGTCAATCACCAGGCCGAATAGCTAGCTCAGTGATAACGTCTGTGACTACAGGCAACACTGGTTCACGTGGGTTTGAATCTCAGAAGTGACATGAATTCCTTCGGGGCAGTTGCAGATACGCTTAACTGTCCGGTAGTGAGTGTCAACTAGCACGAAACCTAGGTCAAGCAAGGCTTCCTGTGGCCGATCTCCTCCAGTCACCTAATATTATTCCTTGTTTGTTTATAGTCTATTGAAAGATTGTTTGCAAATGAGTGAATTAGCCCACTCTCCTCGTTCACTACCACCCTTATTATCTATCTAGTGGTGAGCATATCTGTCCATTGTATTTGTTAGTGTGCCTAACATCTTATTTATTGGATCAACTTGTATAGAATGATACCGTTCGAATACCGATTACAATGACATCTTTATATGTATAACAAGACCTGGGAGTGTATATAAGTACTTTACTTTTACTTTACTTCGGCTATCTCCTACGGGAGGATGAGCCGGCTTCATGAACCATGAAGTTTCATGGGAATTGGGTACGAGTGATGTCCCCAGCATCGCTCGGCCTTTTGTTTGAGAGTGCAGCTCTAGCCTTTACACAACCAAGTGTGACCTACAAGGCAGTAGGAGTGGAGTAGGGAGTCCACTATCCATTGGCAGCCGGTGACCGGAGTCCGGTTCATTCGCCTTTTTGAATGGGGCCAGTCATCCAGGGCATCCAATAAGCCCTTTGTCCATACGTCTGCCGGTGAGCTTCATACGCCAGTCGTTGGAGGTTTGGAATCAGGGTTTAGCCATCTCCCCTAGGCTGTCATCCAATGGACAGTCAACCCGGTGAAGAGCGCCGGGCATCCGCTTTTGCCCTCTCACTTTGGTGAAAAACACCTCCGCCACGTGAAGGCAGTGAGTAGGACTTCCTCAGGAGTGGTTTAGATAGCTTGCTATATTCCTGGTTACCTACATTTTTTGTCTTGTTCGTGTTACTTCTGATGTCTTCTTGGTAGCTGTCACATGTAACTCGTTTAAAAATGTCAGGTTTTTTTCATGATGAGAATTTTTACTTCTGACTTCAAACCATCATAGGAGAATTCAGGATAAATAATTTTTTTTTTGGTGGGTGGGGGGCATTTTCTAATCTTCGTTACGAAATTACCAAAGCAATATAGGTCGGTTTATCGTCATTCATAGGAAATACTTCAGTATTCCTACATTATCCCCCAGTCTTCCGGGTAACTTCACTTTCAGGCCGCCTACTGATATGACTTCGTAAGAGACTATGAACAGTCGTTCCAGTCAGTATGACTATTTTGATGATCATTATAAAGTGCAGGTGTGTGACTATCATGTGACGATTATCGGCCGTCCACTGGGAAGAGCATTGAAAATAAGTGGATGTGTGTTCGCTCTGTTCGCCTTTATGACTGTGACAAACGCCGATTAAAAGTTACAAATGCAAAAAGCCTAGCTATCTTCGATCATTGGTGTCTGCGTTCTATATGCGATGTTAAATGATATAATAAGGTGAGTAATATTAAAGTTAGGCGTCGGTGGAGTGCTAGGTAAGGAGGGGAAATCAATTGATGAGGTTGTGAAGTTAAATTGACCGAAGTGGTTAGTATATGTGTTAAGCATGTCTAGGCATAGTCTTCGTCGACTGACAGGCAATGTTAGCTGACATAAGATGGATGAGGTTGGAAAAGAGCTAGTGGTGGTCAAACCGAAACATGGCTTCATCAGTCAATGAGACCCATAACAGTTAGTTTAAGCCAACCAGTCGCTTACGGAGGTGTAGACTTCTTGCTGATTGGTTGGGGTCCTCGGGACGCTGAAAACCAATGATGGCTGAAGACAATCGGTGATATGTCTCAAAGTCTGTCTGTCTGTCTGTTTTCGACATAGAACTTTGCACAAATGTGCGGAAGTCGAAAACAGAGAGACAAACAGACTTTGAGACATATCACCGATTGTCTCCAGCCATGGCTGGCACGCAGATGCATCCACTCCTTGTGACTTATAATACTACCCAATGAAACTATATTGTTCTTCGTTATTACTATTCCTTTTGTGTTATATTCCTGTCTACTTTCTTCTCTTTCTTTGTGTGCTACATGGAGGAGGGAGTGTGGCGACTTGAACTGCCGCACATTTGTGCAAAGTTTTACGTTAAAACCAGCCAGTCAGTAAGCCATTTACTCAGTTCTTGTACAGAGATAATACATTTTCTATGCCTTTTGAATATATAAAACATATAAGGTAGTTATGTAATACATTGTAACCTATGATTTTTCTCCTAAAAACTAAGAAATGTATAAATTCGGAGTGCAATGTTATATTAATAATTTTTTATGTTAACTAATGGTTTCTTTTATTCTTTTTTGTATGAAACCATTTAGACTTCCTAGAACATGTAAACCAAATTCTATGAAAGACGATGTATCTGCACGAATAAGTCTTCTTGAATGGACTAAACGCAGTGATGTTTTCGACTCGAATCGATGTTATAAACGTACTCGAATACAAACTGAATTCTATGTTAATCCACATCTTCTACCGCGTTTGAAAGAGGTTCGAGTGTGGTTTTTTTTTCTAAAATGAATTATACTACTTTCTTGTTATTACTTATTTTGGTGTATATATAGTGTCAATGTATATTTCATCATTAACAGTAAATCATCAGTTAAGTTGCAGAGATCATTGAAAACTAGGAAGCGCTGAACAGTTTTCTCGTCCTAGTGTGGTACTCTTCAACAGTGCGCATCCATGACTTCTTCAACGATTTAGACCCCTGTCTGTTTTTGACATAGAACTTTGCAATGATGTGCAACAGTTCAAGTTGCCACACTCCTTCCATGTAGTACACAAAGCCAGAGAAGAAAGTAGGAGAAATGCATAATAGAGACAGTACAGAGAGATATGAGACAAAAGGAATAGTAGAAACGAAGAATATTATAGTTTCATTGGGTATTATAAATCACAAAGAGTGGATGCATCTAACAGCGCCAGCCATTGAGAACGATTTTGAGTCTTATTACCGATTGTTTCCAACCATTGAGTTTTACCGTCCTGAGGACCCCAACCAGTTAGGAAGTCTACACCTTCCCACATGACTGGCTGGCTTAAACTAACTGTTGTGGATTTCATTGACTGATGAAGTCATGTTTTGATTTGACCGCCGCTAGCTTTTTTACAGCCTGACCCCTATGTCAGCTAACATTGCACGTCAATAGAGGAAGGCGATGACTAGGAATACGTAACACATGTCCTAATCAGCTTCACAGCGTAGTTGATTAATTTCCCTTCCTTATGTAGCACTCAACTGATGCCTAACCTCAATATTGCTCACCCTGTTATATCACTTCATACGGGAGGTGTAAAGCAGGCACCTATGGTCGAAGATGGCTAGCTGGCCTTATCATATCTTCCACTTTCAGTGGCTAGGCTTACTCGGGGTGGGGAGCGGGTGGCGGGTTGGAGAGTCCAAAACATTGTCCAGGCTCAAATTCAGTCGGCCTCACGCATTAACTTATTGACTAACAATAGGAACGGAGGCAAAGTTAAAGTTTAAGCACCATTAACTACCAATCAACAAATGACCCCGAACTCACCAATCACCTGTAGGAGGCATTTATGAAATAATGCATAAAAACTGTATAAAAGTGTTACAGAGGGTACCTTCCTGTCGTATGTGATAAAAATAGCTCTCAGTTTTAAGTTGGAGTATAATTTATTTTGATAAAGTCTCATAGTGTGTTATACAGTAATATTTAATGAGTAATAAATTGTGCTCGAAAGGTCGTCAGTAAATATTACTGTACAACACTGTGAGAACGAACAAAAACAGGCCGCGTGTGACCGGCCACAAGCAGTTGTCCCCTGGGCTCTGCGGTCACGCAACCAACTTCAACGGTGTGGGCAGCCGGGAAGTAACAATCGCCCTCACAATCCGAAACGCACGTGAGACTTTATCAGAATAAATGTTACCCGCAATGGCATTATGCTCTACCACCACAGGGCACAAGTTCTATTCTTATATCAACTGAGTAATTTAACCACATTCTATTTATTATTACTGTTATTGTTCCCTTGGGTTCCTAGTGGAACATACGGGGCTTCAACTGCACGTCTCCACTTGCTTCTGTCTTCTGCTGTACTTTTCTCCTGCATCCATGTTAGTCCATACTGTTTCAACTCCTCTTCACGCGATCTCCTCCATGTCACCCTTGGACGTCCTACTGGCCTCTTCCCTTTCGGGCTCCAACCGAACAATGGCCTGATGCTCCCGCGATGCCACCCAGCGGCCTCCTCAGCGACTGTCCAATCCACCTCAATCCACATTCTCCTGCATATTTGTTGGGGCGAATGGTTCCTGTTTTGTTTGTTAGTGCCCATAGTTTCTTGTTGGTGATACTTTCCGGCCCGGCCATCTGATCTCCAGTATAGATCCAGCGAAGACAGTTGTTGATAAAAGTGTGCAACAGGCTGTTGGAAATATTCTTTGTGAACCGCCGGCCAAGTTTCTGATTCGTATAGGAGAACTGACTGACTTGACGTTGTTTGTATTGAAAATCCGACCGAATTTTGTTGTTGATGGTGAGTTGAGTGACGAAGATTTCCAGATTGGTTTCAGTTGGTTGATGAATGTGTTTCTCGCTCGCCTTCCGATTCCCGGTCAATTTGACATCCTCGTCCGTTCCTCCTGTGGTAGTTGAGACAATGCTCCCTAGATAAGTCAAGTGAATGAAGTAAGCTCTTTCAAATCCCTCCCTCCCGTTGATGGTGGTTGACGCTGGATGATGTGCTGTTGTTGTTGGTTGGTTATTTTCATAACCTCCGTCTTGTCTATGTTCACCTGGAGTCCTGTCTTCGCCGGCTGCTTCTTCGATCAGTTTGTCGGTTTTCGCTTGTAATTCTTCGATTTTGTGTGACATCAAGCATAAATCATCCTCAAAATCCAGGTCTTCCAGGTTAACCACATTCTATGCACGTAATTATTTAGATCTTCTAACCCTAACAATAACCTTAATCTTTCCTGAACCTAACCCGAACGTGAAAATATCGCTAAACTAATTGTAATCCAACTATAACCAAAGCTAATGATACCTTTATTAGGTTAACCTAACTCTAACTTGTCCTTGACTTAAAGCGTAATCCCAAACCCCTTGGGCTGAAACTTGCCAGATATCCCATTTAATAACCTAACACTTTGATGAGCATATCTTTGATTGATGATGACAACATTATTTGCCAGGTTTCACTAACTAACTTGTTCAGTGAGCACTTCAAGGTCATTGGGGCAGTTGCACTCCATTGATAGTTGTTAGTGATGCTTAAAGTTTAATATGGCCGGAACAGATTGTTAAGACTTTGTTATGCTCGATCATCCGGCTTGCGCTGAATGACTGGCGCTTACAAATGTTGTTGTAAAGATTTATGTATTTATTTATCTAAGTGGCCAAGTTGAAGGTTAAGCACCACTAACAACTACCAATGGAGTACGATCGCCCCAATGACCTTGAAGTGTTCACTGAACAAGTTAATTAGTGAAACCTGGCAAATAATGTTGTCATCATCAATCAAAGATATGCTCATCAAAGTGTTAGGTTATTAAATGGGATATCTGGCAAGTTTCAGCCTAGGGTTTGGGGAAGATTAAGTTATGGTTTAAGCCAAAGACAAATTAAGGTTAGGTTAACCTAATATAGGCCACATTAGGGTTGGTTATAGTTAGATTACAATTTTTTAGCGATATTTTCACTTTCGGGTTAGGTTCAGGAAAGATTTGAGTTATTATTAGGGTTAGAAGATCTAAATGATTACATGCATAGAATATGGTTAAATTACTCTGTTGATATAAGAATAGAACTTGTGCCCTGTCGAGGTAGAGTATAATTCCATTGTGGGTAACATTTATTTCGATAAAGTCTCACAGTGATGTTATACAGTAAGTAATATTTACTGATGACCAAGTTTCGAGCACCATTTATTGCTCAGTAAATATATCTGCATAACACAATGTGAGACTTTATCAAAATAAATTTTACCCACAATAGAATGATACTACTCTCTGTTGATATACTCCAACCTAAAACTGAGAGGTATTTTTATCACATGTGAGAGGGAGGTATCCTCTGTAACACTTTTTTTACAGTTTTTATGCAGTTTTTTTGATAAATATATGTCTCGCAAACACAAAAATGCCCTCCTTCATGTGATTGGTGCATTCAAGGTCATTCGCTGATTGGTTGGTTAGTTAGTTAGTGGTGCTTAAAGTTTAACTTTGCCATCTATGTATATTCTTTGAATAATAAATCATTAATAAGTAAAAATTAAAAGTTTTTATTGTCAATTTCTTTTCTTCCTCTTTTTATTGTTTTTCCCCCAAAATTCTTCCCTATAGGCGGATATACTGCTGATATCATTTCGACTAAGATTTTTAGTTTGTGTAGTACTAGTTTTATTAATTCTCATCTTAATTTTTGGTGCACGAAGTATGATTCCATTGCGTATACGAGTGAATCTTGGAAGTAGAAATGTATTCTCCTTGTGTAAGTATTATATATGTGTATATGTATATAATATATTAATAATAATAATAATGATTTACTTTATTCCAAAAACAGTACTTGTGATACAGAATGGAATTTTCAGCATTAATCACACAATATTGCATCTAATTTCCTCAAACTATAAATAAAAATTAATCACACAGAAAATCTTCCACATTTACAATAGGGGTAATGTCAAAAACATGCAGCATATAAAGTGGAAATAATAATAATGATAACAGCTGAGGTATTAATAATAATACAAGTGAAAATTGCCGTGGGCTTGTTTCACACAGTATTGGCAATGTGGTATAGGAATCCTAGCATGTTTAAAAATATTGAATATAATGTTCTCTTCACATGATATGGTGAGGGGAAAAACAAAGATTACAGCAGTCATAGAGATGAGTTGGTGTTTGCAATTATGAAAGTAAAACAAACAAAGAAGCAACAGGACCATAAATATAATAGAAATAATAAAAGTAAAACTTGAAGGTATATAGGGATGGATGGAGTAATTGTTTATTTACTAGATTATTGTTATTTTAATTATATACACAGCAGTTAGTAATTTCATAAAAGTATAGCCTACAGTTCCATCATTCCATACATTTTATTCCCCTTAATGAATTTGAACAAAGCAAGAGAACTACAGTTTTAGCAGAATAAAGTGGTACCATCAGTGTTTATTTCGTTGCCTTCTCGTCAGCTGCTTACATGGCAAAGACATTATTAAATATACCTACAAAAATAATTTTAACATACTTGTACAGAAAGAAGGGCATATCTACGATTTTCTGAACATGTACCAAAAAGCTTATGTCTAAAGGGAACAAATGCTTTAAACAATTCCATTGCCAGGCATCTCCTTGACACGGGCGGTCATCAGGTGGACCTCGAAAAGTAGTTCAAAATTATCAATAGGCAAAAGCGCTCAATTCTCCTTAATTTTGCTGAAGCCGTTTCCATCAAGCTCCTGAAACCTGATTTATGCGTCCACCAGAAAGAAGCGGTTGTCAG